TAAAAACCTGTTGCTAACTTCAGCCCGTGACTAAAGCGCCATAAAGCCACAACTTGTCAATGTGTATTTAAAAGGTCACTTAGTATCATGGAAACATGTACGATAAAGGGAGTTTTAAAGGTGGGAGTAGAAAAAAATGTCTTATTTCCTCTGGTTAAACTTCAAATAAACGCATTCGTACAAATTATCGACGAATCGTGACAGTTATGTCATTATAACGTGGAAAGCAGTATTTTTAGTTGATTGTCGAAATAAATGATTTACCGTAAAAGGTTGTGAGGACCGGATTTATTTCTGATTGAAATAAAATGGGTTAATGAGGTAGCGGTTTTTTTCTTGTTATAGTTTTGGTATGTAGCTGTGGCTGTTCTTGTTATTGTTGTTGTTATGTTGCCTTCTGTATTTTGTAATGCCATAATTACATACTACCCAATATTTTTTTTGCTGATTTCAAGTTAACTTGTTAGATGGAACCACTAACTAAACTACAACAAACAAAAACAACAAATTTATTATTTTAAAAATACCATGTTATATTTCCCACATGACCGAGTAGATATAGGTTACCCAAGTCTTAATATAAAGATTAATGATTCTCCCAATAGTATCCACAATGATATTATAGTACATTTTATTAAAAATATAACTGCCTTATTTTGTTAGGAAATACAACAAACCATTGGAGTGACATTTAAAAAATAATTAAATATCCGTTTAAAAAAAATAAATTTGACCCACTTGTTCTAATAATTGCCTGTATCCTTTTAAATCTTTGTATTATTATATAAATAATAATATTTATGTCCAATGGTACATACAGGGTGTTATGTTATATATTAAAATACTGAATACCTTTTGACATAAGGAATAAAGGAAAAATATTAAAAAAAAACATTTTTCCAAAGATAAAGAAAAAATATGCATTAGAAGTTTTTTATATTTTTTGTGATACGCCACTGGTTACACACTTGTTTATCTCTGCACACCTGTATTTTGTGAGTACATAGATACCAACCAACAAAGTAGCTATGCGTTGCCAGATGTAAAAAATTGTTACTAAAATTTTTTCTTGCAAAAAATAAATAAAAACTACATAAATACAAAAGTTTTATGCCCTTAAAGCTCTAATACCCTTCTGTATTTATTTACTGATCCAGCTATTAGCTTAAGCAATGATTAGAAAATTTAGTACCTTTGAAATTTGAAATCCATAACCACAAAATTAATTTTTTCATCAGTTTTTTTCTCTGTTTACTCAGATGAAATTGGGACCAGTTCACCAGTTAAACTTTAAACATTTAATTTGTGTAAATAAATCCAAAAGCACTTCCCTTAGTTAAGATATTTACAATTTGAAAACATAACCTAAAATTTAAAAGAAATGCACTAGATTCTGTCATAAAAGTTGGCAGATTTTGTTTGAATTTACCTTCAGTACAAAAATGAAATAACCAACAATTAATAAAAACGCCAAATTGACAATTTGCATTGTTAATTTTGTCATTTTTGCAATTAAGCTAAATTTAAACAATGTTTGTCAACTTTTTTGAGAGATTTTGGAAACACTGGTTACGAACCATAACATAATAAATCCACCAGATTAACCTAAAGTTCCTAGTCGATCCTGGCGTACTTTTTGGTAGGATAAAGGTTATTATAAATTATTTTTAGACTTTGAAATTTAGAAAAAAAAAGTTTCAGGTGTTTCTTTATGGACCCTAAAGAACAACCCATTTTAATATATAACATTAATTACATAACACCCTGTATAATAAAAAATCCATTTTGAGGGAGATAATTAAGCAAAACAGACAAAATAAATTTGAGACAATTCTCGAATAAAAGTTGTTACGGATTTAGAAAGCAGAATTCTTTTGTCAATTAGCAAATATCATGTCATCTCGATAAGTACCTTGTACTTTTGTCTGACTGTCTGAATACGATTTGTAAAATATTCTCCACATTTAAATTTCATTACAATTTAAATGAATGATTGACAAGATAGAAATGCTGTTTAACCATATTTCAATTTTTAAATTCATATTATGTCATTAAAAGACCTTCGCCTAATAAAGGACTAAACTAATTCTTTAAATTGGGTGTGGATTTATTATTTTGTTCAGTAATTATTTTTGTATGTGAGAACATAGGGTATACCGATTTTAGATAAAAAATAAGTAATTAAAAAAGCAATAAACCTTGCCTTAAAAGCGTTGGTATAATTTTAGGTTTTAATTATAAAATTATTAATTAATTATTTTCTTACATCTTAAGTAGAGCACTGTAATTAGGAAAAAAATAATATCCAATTAACTGGCCCATAAATAGTTTATAGTTTTATTTGTACAAGGTTGAAATTTATTTAAAAATAGTATTTTGATAAATAAAGTAGATAAACAAAAAAATATGATTTTTAATTGCAAAAAATTTTTTTCTCATTTATTAAAATGTTTTGTTTTTATTTTATTTTAAATTGAAAACAAAATTGAAATCAGGCAGAAAATGAATGTTCCTGGAAAGGATATTGCAGGGATTTTAATATTAAGGTTTTCAATAATGGATTCCTTAAAAGGAAATGGCATATATTTAATCTCAACTAGAGGAATAAACTTTTTGGATTTTCAATATCCCATATTAAAAATAAATAAGGAAAAGGGCAAAATGCGGGATGAGTTCTAAATTAACAATAGGGTATATGGATCATTTTCAAGAAACACAATTAAGATCAAAATATATTTTTTGCTTAAATTGACTTTTGGTTGGATTTTTATAAATGTTTAGAGTTTTGTTTACTTACTTTTAAGACAGGCAGTGCACTTTTTAATTTTTTTTTACGTTTTTTTTTTCAGAAAAATTTGTTTAGCTAGCTTTATACGAGCCCTAACCACATAATGTTCGGACACTTCATAATTTATACAGAAATTTTTTTCGTGAATACTATCTCAAAATTATTAGAAGTTATGAAAAATTCAGCTTATTTTGGCATATACCCCTCGAAGCGATTTTTATTTTTAAAAAGTTTACCTTTTATTTTTAGCTTTTAAAAAAAGGCTAACTTTTTAACTTTTTTTTGCATGAGTAAAAAAAGTTATAAATGGGCCCATTAAAAAGAACATAAAATATTATACAAACCCTGAAAATTTGGTAAAAATTGTATAAATAATAAGAAAGTTATAGCGATATATATATCTGCAAAATCTCCCGTTTCCTAAGAAAATTGCAAAAACTCTTTAAAAATAGCATTTTTAAATTACTTATACTTTTTTATAACTTATTTATTTTTTACCAAATTTTCAGGGTTTGTATAATATTTTATGCTCTTTTTAATGGGTCCATTTATAACTTTTTTTACTCATACAAAAAAAGTTAAAAAGTTAGCCTTTTTTTAAAAGCTAAAAATAAAAGGTAAACTTTTTAAAAATAAAAATCGCTTCGAGGGGTATATGCCAAAATAAGCTGAATTTTTCATAACTTCTAATAATTTTGAGATAGTATTCACGAAAAAAAATTCTGTATAAATTATGAAGTGTCCGAACATTATGTGGTTAGGGCTCGTATATCTCCACTGTGTTACCAATTTGAAATCCAAACTTTAATTCAATAAAAAAAGTTGTTATAAAAATAATTTAAAATAAAATGTACTTGGTTCACAAACTTTTGACTCCAATTTTTTATTTTATTTTTTATTAAAAATTGTATGCTTTTTTTTTTAAATATGAATGTTCGTTAAGTTACTTTTTAAAAGAAACCATTCCGATTCTTTGTTAAAAAAACAATACCATTAATATTTTCTTTTAGTCACTGTATTAGTGAATTAAACTCTAATAATTATTTATAAACACGTATTACCAAGTAATAGTGTATAGAAATCATTTTAAGTATTTTTTTTTTAACAAAAACTAAAAAAAGTAACGAAATAGACATTGGTATCACAACGGACAGGGGTGCACAAAGGACTTAATCAGATAACGTAAAAAAGAAACTATATAGGGTGGTACGATTTTAAAGTAATGCATAAACAAAATCCCTTGTAGTGGTGCTCACTTGCAGAATAACAACTTAGATTTCTAAATTGTAGACACCCTTTTTCTTTGACTATAAGCTGGTGAAGGTCCCTTTTAGTACTTTTATATTGCGTGGAATTTTTCCTTGGATGTAATTTATATCATGATTTGTAATTACAAATAATTTTAAATTGGTTAATCACAAACTACTTTTAATAAAAGCGACGGTAAATATCCACTTTGTTGTCGAAAAATTCTATTGCGTTACCCTAAATTCCATTTCGTTACCATAAGGTACCAGTGGACTCGGTAACGCAGTGGACAAAGTTTTGTAAAACCATATTTAAAAAATAATAATAAGACATTATAGTCATTAATTACTCTCAATGAGCTTTAGTGCCCTAAAATAAACATAAACATGAAAAATAGAATTTTTTCTTACCTTATTTTTATTATTTTTTTTGAGTAACTTATGGTTTAAAGGTCAAATTGTTTATTTAATATTTTTAAATAAATATATATTAATATGTCGCAAATTTTTTTAAGGGGACGACAAATACATTTCACTGTCATATTATGACAGTGAGGCATATTTGTCTCCTGAAGAATTTTACGAATGTAGAATACAACATATTAGAACGTGGGTATCTGACATATTTGGAAATATTCTCAAAAGCTTCCTAGAAGCTCCATAAGAAACCTTCTAAGAACATTCCAAAAACGTATTCTTAAGATGTTCTTAGGATGCTTTTTAGGAAGGTTTTAAGAAGCTTCTAAGAATCTAATTGCATCATTAAAAGGGTATCTATTGAATGTTTTAAAAGTCCCTAAGAACATTCTTAGCAATAAGGGAAGGTTCTAAGAATATTCCATTATTCCGGGTCATTTCTTCTTAGAAGATTCTTAAAATCTCTTGATTTAAGCTAATTTCCTTAAGTAATTTAAAAAAAAATATGTAAAGATAGTTTCCTAATAAGGTTGTTTCACTATAAAAAAAAAACACAAAACCCACATCAACTATTTTTTTCTACAGCGGACCGTTTGGGAGTTATAGTAGGCAGGCACATTTCAATCAGTGGCAAGGTTGCCATAAGCAGGAGAAAGAAGCAGGAGATTAAGTTTAGTTCGATCGTATGTTCAGTCGCGAAGCGAACGAAAGCAATAGTTGGTAAAAAGTAAGCTTGCTGTCAGCAGCAATTTTAAAACGGTATCTAATCTATGCAGTCGATAACTCGCTGCTTGGGAAACGCATTCGTAGAATTTAACAGCAGTCTACAAGTGTGTGATGTGATGTGAAATGCGATGTGGTGCTACGTTCAGTTCAAACAATTTGGTGTCCAATGATGAGTTTAGTGTCAAAAAACCATTCTACAATTATTGTTCGATTGTTATTAGTGCAAAATATAGGAAATCATAGATAAACACTACACATACGTAATAATTAGCATTAACAGATTTTGTTTACTCTACCTAAACATTCAAAAGATAAACGGTTTGGCTTTATGGATCTGTTAGCAACACTAAAAATAATCACTACTTTTCATAGACAAATTCAGTAATAATTAAAATGAATCTAAATTTTAAAAACATTTAGGGTAAACCACATAGTTATTGGACAAAAAGTATAGTAATTGGACATTTTATATAGTAATTCTATCTAATAATTTTTCTGGTGTTATTATTTTCCGAATTTATTAATTTTGTTGCCATTAGTTTTTTATGTTCTCTTTCATGCACTGTATTTAAATCACTGTTATTCTGCAAAATGTCCTGTGACGAAGAAATCATTATATTACTTACTCTCTAAAAATGAATTCATAGCGAAAAAGCAGCCACTAATAATTCTCGTCAACAGCAATATGTATCCAGGACATTTAGCAGTCAATTCCTATGAAATATTATTCGCTGAATCCGAAAATGTCGTCAAAAGTTATAAAAGTAGAATAGTTTTTGAAATATAATCAATTTTACATATAATATGGAATTGACTATATCTCAAAAACTGCTTAACGTTTATAGTTTTTGACGGTCTTTTCGGATTCAGGGGACAATTTTACAAAGAATTGGCTGGTAAATGTCCGGGATACAAATAAAGTATGATATTGGACATATGAGGAGCGTTTATTTAAAAAGGGACATGTCCATTTTAGCGATTTTCAGAAATAAGTCAAAAGCAAAAGAATTCTGTTATTTTTGACTTGTTTCTGCAAATCGCTAAAATGGACATGTCCCTTTTTGAATAAACGCTCCTCATATGTCCAGTAATAGAAATTTACATTTTTTACCAACCAGTAATTGGACACTGGCCTTTTACTGTTTGTTTTCAGAATTAAAATTAAAACGCATTAAAGTGACAATGTTTAAACCATGAGGAACACATTTATACCACACACTGATCTGTACACTTTTTAGAAATATTTTTTATTGTAATTTAGATACAGACCTGCTCTTAACAAAAAAACAAAAATCTTACCACCAAAGTAACGTGCGAACTTTTTGTCCTATATTGGACTCAAAATAGTTAATTGTCCAATAACTGTCTACTTTACCCTAGGGTATCTAGGTATCTAATTATAAATATAGAAAATACCTCTTAACTTACTGTAAATGTTAAATTAGCAAAATATTTATTATTTTAAACAAAATTTAAATAAATAACAAATTTATTATTATACAAACTACCATTAATTTTTAAATTATGCAATTTTAATGAAAACAAATTAGATAGGCCGATAAAACAAAATCAAATAAAAACAACATAATAAACGCCAACGTAACGTAATAATTGTTTTTGTTATAACATGCGCGCATATATCAAAACATAATTAAAATAATAATAATAATTTATTATTATTCTTTTTATCTACACAAAGCTATTCTATGGAATCAATGAAAATTGTTTGGTACATATCAAATCATTTTAAGTTTAAACAATCAGTTAACATGTGAATAGTAATTTGAAACAACTACTTTATTGAATTAAAATTATTTTTTTTCCAGAATTAGTTACACATGTCCAAAAACTAATTCTAAATTCAGCACATGTACTCTCTAAAAATGACTAATTTAATGGTTATTACCCTGCAAAATTTGATTTTAGGAATCTTCTAAGAAGATATGACCCGAAATAATGGATAATTCTTAAGCAGGGTACAGACCAAGTTCGCGAGCTGTTCGCGAATAGTTCGCGAACACTTTTCCGCGAGTTCGCGAACAGTTCTAGAACAGCTCGGCTGTTCGTTCAAGTTCCGGGTCGAGTCGGTAACTTCAAAGGGTTTGTTCGCGAACACGTGGCGAGCTTAGTATGTGTGTGGACGTTCCAGAGTAGAACCTCTGTGGTTTGGCATTTATTTATTTAGTTTATGCTGGACAGTATATAAGTTTTTAACAACGTATACATTATAATTTACCTTAATAAATAAAAAGCTATTTTAAACATGGACTGGTCAGAGGACGATATTGTTTGGTTAATCGAAGAATATCCACCATATTTTGAGCGATTTTTAAATAAACTTCTTTGCCACCATCGCCTGGTCTTACGTTTCTGTTTTTTTGACTCAACGTTTGATTTTACTAAAAAATAGGCCGCACAAGCAATTATTAGATCGCTTTCTTCATCGCTTTGCAGCGATGACATTATTTTTATTTAAATGTTTAAATTTGAATTTGGAAATTATGGAACCCTCGACGAACTCGAACGAACTTGCTCACCGAAACTGTTCACGTGCAAACTTTTCTAGTGTGGACGGCACGTTCGCGAGCTGCTCGGGTTCAATTTGGAAGCTGTTCACGAGCAGCTCACGAGCAGCTCGCGAACTCTTTGTTTTTGGTCTGTACCCAGCTTTAGAACCTTCCCTTATTGCTAAGAATGTTCTTAGGGACTTTTAAAACATTCTATAGATGCTCTTTTAATGATTCAATTATATTCTTAAAAGCTTCTTAAAACCTTCTTAAAAAGCATCCTAAGAACATTTTAAGAATACCTTTTTGGAATGTTCTTAGAAGGTTTCTAATGGAGCTTCTAGGAAGCTTTTAAGAATATTTCCAAATATGTTCTAATTTGTTGTATTCTACAATCGTAAAATTCTTCAGGAGACAAATACGCCTCACTGTCATAATATGACCGTGAAATGTATTTGTCGTCCCCTTAAAAAAATTTGCGACATATTAATATATATTTATTTAAAAATATTAAATAAACAATTTGACCTCTAAACCATAAGTTTTATGACATTATATTATAAAAAGTAAAATAGGAACATTTTGTGGGATAAGTCAGATTAGATTGAAGTTGAAGATAGTTAGGATTATTATACATAAAAATGTTAATTCAGAAATAAAAAATCGTTATACAAATTAATAAATATTTATTTTTAACATAAAATAAAATACCTATAGTAAAAGTATTTTTGTTATCGAATATTGTTTTAATTTGACAAACAACTATAAAATAATATTTTGGATTGTGTTTTTTACTTAGTATTTAATACTGATTACTAATAAGGTACTTAATTATAGGTATATACCTTTATACGCCCAAGTAACATTTTAAATGCAAAATTGACTTGAATTGGTTTTAAAAAGGTTTTATTATAGCGGAAATAATGCAAACAGTTTTAAAAAGGTTCTCATAAATGCCAATTATACTTGGGAGAAGATGGTTTTAAAAAAAAGGTTTTATAGCTATCTTAAAGAACTCCTATTTAAAACCTTATGGCTTTCAAGAGTATTTACTCTTTAAAATGACTTTATTTGGACTTAAGTTTAACCTTAATAAGGTTAAATTATCTTAAGATACTTCTAAAAGCAGTATTGTTTTATTATTGTTTTATAATTGACAAATAAAAGCAACTTTGTTTTATGATAGCTTTAATTTTTAGTTTTAAAGCGTTCTTGTAGTCAGCTTAAGCAAGATACTTTTAAAATTATCTTGCTTTTAAGGAACCCTTCCCACTGGGAAAAATAATATTTCTACAATGTTACTGAACGTTACATTTGTTAGATGTAATGTTACAAAAATCCTTGTGGCAATGTTGCAGGAACATTGCAACAAAGTCTTATGTCCGGCTCAGGAACATTACATTTACAAATAAAATGTTGCTTAAATGTATTAATTGCAATGTTACTAAATGTTATTTTTGTTAATGTAAGGTTCCTGCAACATTACATTTGTTAGGTGTAATGTTGCAGGAACATTGCAACAAAGCCTGATGGTTCAGAAACATTACATTTACAAATAAAATGTTGCTTAAATGTATTAATTGCAATGTTACTAAATGTTATTTTTGTTAATGAAAGGTTCCTGCAACATTACAGGAACATTGCAATTAAATTAATATGAATTATTATTATAATAATTAATTATAATTATTTATCCGTAAGCTATAGGCCTATTATATATAAATAACAGACTGTTTCGACCTATTTGGTCTCATCAGTGTAAGGCAGTCGGTGACGGGAGACACGCATCAAGCTCGGCAATATTCACTTATAAAGATATAAATGACCAAGACAGCGGCGAGATGCATCGGCAAGTCAGTCTGCAAACAACATTGCAAAAATTATCTTAATGCAATATTTCGGATGAAACATAGTCCAAAACTAAAGTTACAATTATAAATGTAATATTATAGTTACAATGTTCCAAAAATCTTGCAAATTAAATGTTTATATTGTTTATATAAAGCAACATTTCAAAAATCATCTTAATGTAATATTTAGGATGAAACATTGCCCAAAACTTATCAATGTAATATTATAATTTCAATGTTTAAAAAATCTTGCATATTAAATGTTTATATTGTTTATATAAAGTAACATTTCAAAAATCATATTAATGTATTATTTCGGTTGAAACATTGCCCAAAACTTATCAATGTAATATTATAATTGCAATGTTTCAAAAATATTCCCAAACATTCCAAAATAAATGTTTCTATTGTATATTTAAAGTAAAGTTGCAAACATTTTTCATTTGAAACTTGTGTTAATATTTCAATTGAAACATTGAAAAAAGTTATGTCTGCAATATTATAATTGTAATGTTTAAAAACTTGTATGCAACATTTTATACTAAATATTACAAATATAACATTGTAAAAACTTTCCATGTGAATCTTTAAATAATGTTTCAAATTTAAGGTTGTTGGAAATTATTATATGCAATATTTCAAATGTAACATTTCATTTATGTTAATGCAAGTAGCACAGGATATATTTTATTTGTAAAGTCGGCGAACATTGCAGCAATATTTTGTAAGGTTTCTTTCCCAGTGGGTTATTAAAGCTCTGTCTTATAATGCTCTTGGTTTTAAATTTTTAAATACTTAATAAAACTTGTTTTATTTGAATAAAACCCTTATAAGTCTTTAAACAGCTGGAACTATAATTTATAAACTATTAGTTCCACGATTGTCGTAGTGTCGTACGTACGTATTGTAAAATGTCTACATTCATAGACGATTTTCTTCGTAAAACAAGAAGTGGACATTTTTATAGAAAATGGAGGTTTCTATTTTTTGAAGTTTTGCGACCAAAACTTTGTTTTTTGGCCAGAACAACATTCCACGCTCTTCCCATTCACTCGGAACGATAGACAAGCACATTTGTCCATTTTCACAAGTTTGAACTATTTTAAAAACCATCTTAAATACCAGAGACAAGTCTCTGTTAAATACCTATTTAATTTAACTATAGTTAACTATACTCTATGAGCCTAATCCAACCATCTCTGGCTCTAACAATAGTAAATAAGGTTAGGTATATTGGCGCGAAGAATAAAACCCCTTTGACTTAAAAAGGTTTTATGAAGATATATGAAATTTAAATAAAAACCTTTTTAAGTCCTTATTAAAGAAAAATGGTTTTAACTAAGTAAAGTTGCTCTTCTCAGGTAGGAAATAAAGTCTAATGGTTTTATTATTGACAGTTTTGGTTTTATCAATTACTATTATTTTAGTAGATTAAAATGGCCGAATATGTTGCACTGTGGAATAAAATATTTTTATTATAGGAAATATTTTATTTATTAAAAATTCAATATTTATAGATAAAATTAACTATTTTTATTTTAAACATATTAAAATATTTAGATATAAATAACTTACAATTATTAAAACTATAAGGTTTAACATTTGTATAGAGTTTGTTTTAGATAACTAAAAAATTATTTATAAATTGTTCCGGTGTTTTTAAGTTTCCCTACAAGGGAAACTTATGGTAATCATGAAAATTTCACCCTCCCAGTTTTCTTTAAATTTTCACGTTTCATGACTTACCCAAAAAAGCAAAAAAAACAAAATGTCTGTCTGTCTGTCTGTCCGTCCCAAAACTGTCTGCTCATTTTTCTCAAAAACTATAACACGTATTGACACCAAATTTTACAGGATTGCTTCATTATAGCTCTATATGGGACAATAAGATTTTTTACCCCGTTTCGCCCCTGCCCCTTGTGATAAAAAGGTTTTTTGCTTTTCTGCCCTTATAATGCTAGATAGGGGTATTATGTATAAAACAAAAGTTGTCCCTTTCATCGAGACCTTTCTAACGACGTATCACATGGTGTGTGATACCCAATCCAACCGAACCCAAGCCAACCCAACTACAGTAGAATCTCGCTAATCCGGCCATGTGATAGTCCAACCCTGCCAATAATCCGGCGATCCGGCGGTAATTTGGTGAATGCAGATTTTAACTGCACTATCTATAATTCGGCGGTTTCCACAAATTGGTATCCGATAATCCGGCGTTTTCGTCTAAACACGTTGTCTAATAAACAATGTTTATTTACTGTATCTACATAAAGAAATGCACATAATAAAATACATAATATGTACTCTTAAACATTAAATACAGTGTTACAATAATGATAAAAATATAATATCAAAAAATTAATAAGCTAGCGAATTTAATTCTCTATCGACCTGTACTTCCTACAAATTTTCGAAAAGTTTGGCGCTTGTGCCGTTTTGCCTTAAACCCGTCTATATATACACCCAAGATATCTGAGTTGTTAAATTTTTATTATCGGGTCAAAGTTTGTTTTAGTAATTTTGTTTCTATCGCAAAACATATTAAAACTATTTTATCCCACAGTGCATGTAACAGAATCAGCTTAAAATATATAATAAAATATTATTAAAAAAATGTTTGTTTTTTTTTAATTTACGTTAACTGTAAAGCGCATGTATTTTTTGAAGCTATTTTATAGTGTTTAGTCAATAAAAAAAATTGCGTTTAATATTTTGGCCAGACTAATACTCGTACTATTAAATATAATAACTAACATAATATTATATTATAAATCTTAAACAACAGATCGTCGTAGACAATAACTTAAGGTCATACAAATATAATATATTATAATACCTGCATAAGACATTAATAAAATAAGTTTACATTATACTATAATTATTAAAACCAATATAATCCATCTTTAAGTCTAGTTCCTCTTATTACATTCTATTTTGTCTTAAAAAGGATATCTTAAAACTAATTGGTTTTGACTATTTTGACTTTTTAAGTTACCTTTAAAACTACTCTAGGCTATTTTTAAAAAATATTTTTTGGTTTTAAAATAGACGATGCCAGAACCTTAATAAGATGCGCCTTTTTTAGCTTATTAAGGTTGCGAGGATATCTTCAGGAGGTCTATAAGAGTAAAGCGTTTTAATAAAGGAATTTATTTGTTGTTTTAAAGCGTTCTTGAAGACCATAATAAAACTAAAAATGTTACTTGGGCGTAATTTATGGTATATTTTAATATTATATAGGTAACTGAACTAAATATGCTTAACAAGAATATTCCTAAATGAACTTTCTATAGCAATTACTTTCCTAACATTCTAAGCATATGTTTAGAGAAGACTAATTTTTACCACTAAAACTTTGCACCTTCTAAGAACCTGCCTATAGGCCAGTTAGAATATTCTTAGGATCATGCTATATGTCTTTTAAGCTTGTTCTTTAGAAGAACTATAGCATGATCCTAAGAATATTCTCACTGGAAGGTTTAAAAAACATTCTTAGAATAAAGTGTGCTATTAGGGTAGTACTAATAACTATTAAATTAGTAATTTTTGACTCATTCATTTTTAGAGAGCAAAATGTATAAATGCGCATATTGCTAAAATCACAATTTCATTATCTAAATTAAATTTTTTATTGACAAATAATAAATCACAATTATGTTATTGCGTTTAATTTAAACTAATTCCGGCAAGTATTAATATTCATCTTTTGAGCTGACTAGTCTAAATTAAAAATAATAGGACATGTTTTGTAAAACAAACAACAAATTGTCTAAAGTTAGATTCTAAACTATGCGAAAAACAGTTTCATTTAAAATGTCATTCATTGAATGTTGGTCGATGTAAATAAACTAAATTTAATATTAAATACGAAAAGTAAACAATTCAGTTTAGATGCTTATCGCGCGTTATGAAAACGGAGTGTAAATTGACGTGTTAGGCTGTGTTGTGCTTAATTTCCGTACGCAGTTGATTAAAAAATAAAAACAAATGGTGTGATACGCGAAAATGATAATACAAAGCAAAAATTCCGAGGATATGGAGAGCCTTATTGATAAGGATATTATTGAGGACGAAGAAGAAACTGGTAAGTTTAAATATAAAATATCTGCTTTTATATATAGAATTCTTTTTTTCGGTTGAACACTCCCGTTTGTAGTAAACTGCTCGACTGTACGGCGAAATGAAGTACGTGATCGAATTTTATCCGGAAAACGCTGAGCGTAGATATTAACAGCATCATCAAGATTCCTGCCTGCTTCTCCATAAATCAAAATCATTTCTATTTTTTCTTCCACTGTTAAAAAATCCATTATGAATAACTGCTTAACGAAAGGAGGTCTTTTTGTTTGCAAATTAATCTTCGAACTAAATTGATTAAATAATGCTAAACTATGTATAAATAGTTTCTTTATACCTTAATAACTAAATACCATTTTTTATACCTCAATTAGGCATAAATTAATAAATTGACAAAATAATGTTTTTTTTTACCTCAAATGAGGTATTTTTATAAAAAATAGTACAATAATCCTTTAAATTAAAGGATTAAATGCTGGCAGGGAACAAGTGACCATGGTGCGCAATTGATAATTATCACAGAATGAAATAGTGTATAAAACTTAAACCAAAGGAAACTTAAATATTAGTTAAAAAATCAGATTTAATCTAATAAAATAATTATTACCAAAAAAGTGATATTTTTATAAAAAAATTATTGCAGAATCGTATACACACGGTGGTCAAAACTAAAGTATAGGACGAACAAAAATGCCAACCAAAACTGATAGCATAATCTGATTATAGACTCTTTTGGTAACACAAAAATGTATTTATCAAAATCCCAGCTGATCCTTTATTAAAGTTTTGCATATTTCTTAGTATTTTAAAATTGTTTATGCCATTTCGATAAAATACTCTAGTACAATTATCAAATGTTTTTAAAACTTTGGCAGATACATGACTGGAATATGGATAAATTACATTATAAATACAAAATAATGTAAAATACAGTTTGCAATATCTTATTTATTGTTTTAAGGTATCTAATCCAAAACTAATAAATAAGTAACTAAAGATTCTTTGAAGCAAAATCGATTACTGCTTGCCTTAAATTTTCATTAAAACTTTTTCTTGGGTTTTACATGGAATTGTTTTTAACATGGAAACAGTATTTTTAAATTCTTCAGTCTCTGTACAAACATGCTTCTTACATCTAGCGATATACCCTAGAAAGGAAGAGCATATCAAAACTTTAGTTCGTTCGTCCGTCCTCTTCCCTTAATAATTTTTTATGCGCTTTATATCTTGCCATTTTGCACATAAAGCACATACATTCTTGGCTTCCGCGAAATTCTCTGGCAATTTCTAAATTTTGAAAATTTGGCAATTGTGGCTATGGATAAATACCGATTTTACCATATTGAAGTAGGTAATTTTGAATCACTTAAGTTAAAGTGATCGTTTGAAAAAGTTTGCAGTAATTTTTATATTTTCTCAGAAACCCTAAACTCTGAATTTTTCGATTACCAAAAACAATTTTGTCTTCACAGCCAGCACATACCTTCTTTCGATTGTCTTCATGGCTTAACTTAAATTTCGGTTTAATTTTCATTTTAAAATACTATTTTTAACTTTATAAAGTATACATTAAATAAACAACTAAACCAAAATGTCACTTGCGTTATAACGTATAGCAAATTTTTTCATAACCACCTTAATTATTGTTTTACAAAATTTGCAAGTTGTAATTATTTTATAGACAAAATTCCAGTATTTTTTTTATAAAAAATATTTAAGATATAAATCTTCGGTTTTTTTTGTTATGTTTTGTTTTGAGTGGTAAAAAATAATAGGTGACTCAATAAATTAATACTGGGGAGTAAAGTAATTTAAATGATACAAAGCTTATTATTTGGCTTAATTTTATTAAAATTGTACAGGTAGTTTTAGTACAATAATTGCAAAATAATATATAGAAAAAGAAAAACAAAAAAGTTTGCAAAACTTTAAAATAGGACCAGCTGGGATTTTGATAAATACATGTTAGTGTTACCAAAAGGGTCTATAATCAAAATATGCTATCAGTTTTGGTTGGCATTTTTGTTCGTCCTATACTTAAATTTAAAGTTACCCCCTGTTCCCCCTAAGGAGGAGAGTATGAGGACCAATTTTAGTACTGATTGATTTCCCCCTCGAATAATTTAATTTTTATTTTAATTTTTTTTCATAAAATGCATACTAACTGAAATATATTATTATAAATAAATTTAATAAATAACAAAATAATAAGATATATTCGCATTGAAATTAAATATACAAGCTAAACTTAAAAAGCAAAACCTAGAAAAAAATTAATTTACATTTGAAAAAAACTCTCATTAATCTTCTATAGTACATTACCCCATACATATTTGTATAAAGCCAGTTTCAACAACCAGTTTCTTTTTATCTACAAATTCACATCCATATAAAACCCGCTATTTATTAGAATTCCAACGTAGTTTTTTTTAAATGTAATTATAAAAAGACTAATTGTTGAACTTGCACCAAATTGGTAGCTGGGATATTTTGTTGAATTTGTCTTATTTTAAATATATTATTATATTTATTTATTATACTATTTTTGTTTGGGTTTAGCTAAGCTTAGTTTAAAAGGCAAATTTATTTTTTCATTTTTATCATTTACATATCGTCTTGTTTTTGACCTTAAAAGACCCGAAAAATTATGCAATTAATCCAAAATCCAAAAAGTTTGATGTAACAATTTTAAGTAAAATAAAGTACCTAAGGTAAAGTGAATTATTACAAAATAACAAGTTGCCAATCATTAAATATAATGTTTACCTCCATAATACCTGAGAATATTTTGATTGTTCTGCAATAACAATTTTAAGAGGATTATTAAGTTTCTCTTCACTCTAGTGAATAATTGAAATTTTATGTAACACTTTATAATTTTGTTCGATTTTTCTTCTGTATACGATTCTCCAATAATTTTTGAATAAAATACTTGGTTTTATTTTTTAAATTTATTGAAGTATAATATATATATATAAATATGGTTTTATCAAGAAGACTACATTAAAGAGGAGTAACATGGATTACAAGGCAGTCTTCTTGGTTTGTATTAGTTGACAAATTCTCATTTTACATTTATTTACGTAAACAAATATGCGACATATGGATATTTGCCGCAACGATGCATTTTTTAGATTAACAAATAGATTGTTTTTGCATTTGTCAGCTTAATAAAAACTTTAACGTACGTGGGTGATATTTGAAACTTCCTTCGGTAACATCGTAGAAAAATTTAAATTCTCATTAAACAATAAACAAATTTAAATAATAACAATTATTATTTAAGGGGCTTTTAAACCATTACTTAAAAATAATTATTAAGGTTATAATGTCGAAACTAATGACGCTAAAAAAGGCAGGTATGCCCAGAGGATATTAATTTCACCATTACAAAAATCGATATTAATTAAGTTCTTGCGATAAATTAATTAGAGCCAGGTGGGATATAAATAAAATACCGCTTAAAACATTAATGCTTAATGTATCAGTGGCGGATGGTTAATTTTTTCTAAATACTCAAAAACATAAATTCGTTTTAAAAAAATTTAAAATATAGATCTGAAACTTACGAGTGATATTTAATAAAACCAAATGAGTTTGACCTACACTTTTATTGTGTTTTGATCTTTCATAATTAAGTAGATATTACAGCTCAGGTTCCAGATTTTTAACCGCAATTAATTATTTTTTACAATGTTTTAAAAGTCTAAAACCTATCCTCCGTGACTGTTACTCTTTCTAGGCTAACCTATATGTCTTCAAATATCTGAGGTAGTAAAAATATCAGTTCACTAAGTAAATTAAACACATCCAAAGCAATCGAATCAAATATAAAATATTATAAAAAATTAAAAGTAATAATTTTTATAACCATTTATGTAGGTGTTACAAAAATTGATTCTATCCTCCGTGAGTCTGTTTTTTCTTTAAATTTTATGCAATCGTTTTAAATAAGCAAAAACCTCTGTTTACGACATTATAGGTGCATGTGATTCCTGAAGGTCAGTTAGAATTTATATGTAGATGAGAGTGTTGCTGTTTTATAATTCAAAAGTTTAAGTTCATTAATTTGCCATTTAAAAACCTATCCACCGTGAAGTGTAATATCTCAGTAAGTAGATTTTTTTATAAATAATTTATGTATGTACAATTGTATTTTTAAAAAATTTTAAGGTGTCAAAAGATACAATATCTTATTTCAATTATACAAAGGGATGTTTTAAAAAAACATACAAAATCCTAACCTCCGTGAAGCTATCTTCCGTGAAGCTCTAATATTCAAAATGTATGATTTCTTAAATTTCTTGCATAAGTGCAGAACCACTTATGTTATGTTATTACTAGACCTGGTGGCTTCCCAAAAACCCCATTCTAGACTAACTAATTATTCGACAGTGTATTATTCAACATGTTGAAATGCATCTAGTAACACGTCCTGTCACACTGCTTATTTTTATAGGCAACAAATTATTTTTTTTACATTGTTTATAGATTAAATAAAAAAGTAATTCTTGCTGCTACAACTATAAAAATATGTAAAGATCATTTTTATGTTTTAAACAGGTTTTTAACAATAACATTGATCTTTTGTCTTTTATTACTTAATATACAGCGTGGTTTTCACATACAGGGTGAATCATTTAACTTAAAACTTTGAAAGTACCTTTTTAACTAATATTTAAGTTTCCTTTGGTTTAAGTTTTATACATTATTTCATTCGGTGATAATTATCAATTGCGCACCATGGTCACTTTTTACCTGCCAGCATAAAATCCTTTAATTTAAAGGATTATTTTACTATTTTTAATAAAAATACCTAATTTAAGGTTAAAAAACATTATTTTGTCAATTAATTAATTTAATCCTAATTGAGGTATAAAGAAAATGTTTATAGTTTAGCATTATTTAATCAATTTAGTTCGAAGATTAATTTGCAAACAATTTTTTAAGCATTTATTCATAATGGATTTTTTAACAATGGAAGAAAAAATAGAAATGATTTTGATTTATGGAGAAGCAGGCAGGAATCTTGATGATGCTGTTAATATCTACGCCCAGCGTTTTCCGGAAAAAATTCGATCACGTACTTTATTTCACCGCACAGTCAAGCAGTTTACTGCAAACGGGAGTGTTCAACCGAAAAAAAGAGTTCGTCGAGCAACAGTCACAGGTGGAAATAATGAAATTAATGTGTTAGCAGCAACGGCCGCTAATCCTCATGAAAGCACACTAGAGATTTGGGAATATTTGAGCATCTAAAATTCATCCAAAAGCTTTTTAGATTTCAAGATTCATTATATGTCTTGGTTTCTACTTTAAGGAAGAAAATCAATTTTCTTTATAATTGAAAATCCATGCCCTATGTATTATCTTTTATACGTGATGAAAATGCAATACCAATTATATTTAAGTGAATAAAATGATGGGTTGTTTTATTTAAATTATAGAACTGGTGTTATAAACGTAAATTACAAAGCTGAAAAGACTCCACGTTAATGTTACGACATGCGAGTCATTTGGGATTAAAATAAATTATTATTATTATTCTAGTTTATTGGTAGTTACTTAGATAATTGTATAAATTTTCAATAAATATTGAATTTAAAACAGAAGTAAAATTACTACTGTCGTTTTTATTCAATTAAATTTATAGTGAACCAGACAAACTGAAAGGCGTAATTTAATACAACCCACTGAAACTGAAGTTTAGATTTATTTTAAGTATATACTTTGTGCTATTTTATTTGTTGTTTAATTTAATTAAGTTAGCTCTGAAACAGAAGATTTTATCTTGTTTGTAAGTTCAAAAAATTTTCTTATTTTTTCAGATAGCAACCGAAGCCTTCTTCATAGAAAAAGTTCATTAGCCTTGACGCCAGAAGACGAAATATTGGAAATTAATGTGAGTATAATAAATTCACCCTTCATAATTCGATTTATTCATAAAAAACGCAATACCTACGCTGTAAAGGAAGATTTATCATTTTTGAAAGCCCTATTGTCTAATATGATTATAGGCTTACTCAGATATCATAAAATCCATATAGACAAAAGAGAATTCTTTGAAGTTTATCAAAGGAATTTGATTCCTTTAACAATGGAAAATATATGCTAATACTTAGGTATGTATGTATGTAGGTATTCATTATTTTAAAGATTATTTTAATAATAATAATACTTTATTTATGACATAGTCAGTTACAGGTAGAATTTTATTTTTAAGTATTTTAAATCAATTTCAAACGAAATAAAGCAAAAATAGGCTAAACATATTTTTTGTATTTCTTATTTTTTATCAGATTTTTTTAAGATCTGTAAGTCAAATATATAGAAATACATAACCATATTTGTAAATTATAATTATATAGAGTTAAAATAAACTTAAACCGAGTAATTATAGTTAAAGTTGACTTAAAGTTGACTTAAGTAGTTAAAAAAGGGTAAAATAACTAAAAAAGTATTAACTTCTTTTTAATCAAAAGGTACTATGCTCCACACCTCAAAGTCCCACCACGTGACCACGTACGGAACGAAGTCTTTTGTAAATTTGGCATTTAAGGCTTTTCAGGTTATGTATCTGTCAAAGTATAGTCAACGAAAGAAATATTATTATGTTTAGGCGTTAAAAATGTATAAATCTTTATAACATTACAATAACAATGGATGGTTTAAGAATTTAAGAATATAAATACTGCATTTAATGAAATTCTAAAGTGTATGGTGCCAAATAAGTAATATTTTTGTGCATTTTAACTAAACAGCATTTATTAAAAAAAATCTAGCTTCTCTATTATGGAATAAGAATATCTGTTTTAAAGGTAGGTTAATATATTATAACAAAAATTTCATCTAATTTTGTAATTTTAAGGTTGGAAAAATTTATTTTGACCAAAATAAATAAGTATTTTGGATTATTTAAAAGACTGTATAATATGGTATTTAAAAATGTGGAAGTTTTTCTTATCCAGCTTAAAGTGTACCTACATAAAGTTTTGCCAATACAAATAGTTAAAGAGCTTCGATTGAACTTAATCTAAATCGAAAAATCATTATAACTTTAAAAATTTTAATAAATCACATGTCATGGGAGTATTAAATATTTTCACATTGCAAGTTTCTCTAAAAATTGTTTGTTTTCTTATAATCTAACTTAAAGTAGGTATGCCGAGAGGTATGCACAAGTTTTGTCATTAGAAGTATAAAAGCTAAGTTTAAAAGTATAAGTATAAGTATAAGTATAAAAGCTAATTTGAACCATATTCAACAATTATTTAGTATACCTATATTTATTTATGACCATATTAACCCTCTCTCCAAATAATCCTCTTATTTATTTTGGTCAAAATAGATTTTTCTAACCTTAAAATACAAAATTAGATGATATTTTTTGTTCTAATACATTAACCTGCCTTTGATACAGATATTCTTATTTCATAATAGAGAAGTTAGATTTGTTTTAATAAATGCTGTTTAGTTAAAACTATTTTATGGAGAAATGTAGACCCAATGCAAAAAAATATCACTTATATTGCACCTTACACTTTGGAATTTCATTAAATGCAGTATTTATATTCCTAAATTCTTAAACCAACCATTGTTATTGTGTAATATAAAGATTTATTAACTTTTAACACGGCAACACTATAAATATTATTTCTTTCATTGACTATACTTTGACAGATACATAACCTGAAAAGCCTTAAATGCCAAATTTTCAAAAGACTGCGTTCCGTACGTGGTCACGTGGTGGGACTTTGAGGTGTTTAACTACCAGCTGTGCTATACTTGGGTAATTATAATTATTACACAATAAAGTAAATAGATGAAGCTACAGAATTTTGTAATAATTACAATTATTTTAATCCCTGTGCATCCGCCATTTTTTGAAAAATACTTATTTTTGTAAAAAGTACCTACTCATGATTTAATGTAAACAAAATCCACAAATTTTATCAGAAAAAAAATTGTAGGTGTATATATTTTTGCATAAAAATTGTCAAATATATTCTTCTTTTATTGGGCTATATACATATTAAATAAAAAAAACGCAAGAAATATTTTATTAAAGTGGAGATAATTTTAATAATTGACAGATGTGGATGGGACAAGACACATTTTTTTTTGTCCCGTCCACACCTTTCCATTATTAAAATTATCTCTACTTTTATAAAGTATTTATTCTGTTTTTTTTATTTAATGAATAGCCTAATTAATAAAAAAAGAATATTTTTGACAATTTTAATGCCAAAATATTATATAATAAATTATCTACAATTTTTTTATAGAAACTGTTTTGTAATTCGTGCGTTTCGCGGGCTTAATATGGCCGACAACTCAATTAGCTTTATTAGGAATCAAATACAAAATTTATATATTATTTAAACAAATAAATAAATATTGCATTATATTTATTACGATTATTATTATTAGCATAGTAAATAATAATAAATAGTTTATTAAATTTGTAATATTAAATTATGTTTGAACATTATGTAAACTCCACAATATCATTAATTAAAATTGTATAGTGTAGTTTATTGCCTTATACAAAGTATATACATAAAGAATATGTTTCCGATCTGTTTTATATCAATTTTTAAGAGCTTTCCAAAGCTTAGTAAAGGTAATTTTTATGGTTATGGTCAAAAATTATTTATCTTCAAACGCTGCTTTCAGTAATAGAATTTGCATTAATTATAAAGTAAATTTACGTTATGTTTATAAAAATAACACCCTTCCAGATGCAGAAACGCATTGCTAAATATAGTTATTATTATTTGTCCAAAAAAAAACAGTTCTATACCGTTTATATAAACATTTTGTAGTATTAATCAAACCCTAATGGTATTATTCATAGAAATTTTACAAATCCCTTTTCGTTTAACATAAAAGTTTTTTTATAATATTAATAAAATTTATGTAAATTTACACTGAAAAAAATAAGCTGTTGAAACAACAAAAAAAATATTAATTCAACTCTTTATGCACTTTAAATACAAGCAATGGTTTTTGCACGTTTACTTAACCATCTAAAAATGTCAAATTGTATTGTTTAATTGAACAACAAATAACAGTCAAATGAACAAAATAAGAATATTTGTTCTAATCTGCTAATTTGGTTAATTTAACATTCTTAGGGTGTTAAGGTAAATTTCTTGAAATGTCCAGGTAACCTTTTTAGCATATTCACTTAACACCAATAAAATGTTAAATTAACATTCTGAAAATGTAAAATTCTTTAAAGGTTGGTATCCAAAACAAAATTATGGAAATAATATATTATTATATATAAATAGAAAGAATTGAACCTTTACCTCGCCCAGAGTTTTTGTTTTGAGCGTGTTCCACCCATGATACATCTTTGTATCATGTGTTCCACCTACTTCAAATACCGACAGACCGTTTCGCCCTGTATTGAGGGTCCTAACAGTGTCGGGCAATATGGTGTAGTGAAAGTTCTACTGTGGAACACACCTTAAAGTTTAAGGCTTAAACAAACAGATATCTCATCTTATATACACCTAATCGTAAGCTAACTAAGGCGAGATGTAAGAAAACGTCATTGTCTAATGACGTGGCGTGAGTGTTCGAAGCGCCATTCTCGGCAATTTTATGAATGCAAATTTTACATTTTAAATTTTAAAGTAACATTTTAAATTTGTTAAATGAACAAATTTAAAGTTTTGGATTAAAGAGCAACTAAACGTTAATTTAATAGTTTTTTTAGGTAATCCTAAAAATTTCAGTAGTTGATTCAACAAATTCCAGCTATTAAATCAAAGTACGATAAACATTTTAATTCAAAATATTAGTTTATGTTAAATTAATATTTAAACTGTCAAATGAACAAATAAACTTTGACAAACTCTGACTTTTGCTTTAACACCAAAATATAGATTAATCCAATAGGTTTTTTGTTGAAACAACATTTTTAAAAATGACATTTAGGCAAATGTTAACTCAACTACATTATTTTTTTCGGTGGCCCAACAAATTAATTGTTAATTCATTAAACTATTTTCATTGTAACAATGCACAGTGTGTGAAATTAATGATCTAGCTAGACAAAACCTTAATGACATAAAAAATTATAAATTTTCTCTGTAAACGGGGAATTTGGGTCCACTGAATCCAAATCTGACATCTAAAATGCAGAAATTAAATTCGTTCATTACGAAATGGCCGGCGCATTGCAATAAAAAATAAACTTTCGGTTTCGTCGAAAATTGGTCAACTTTCGTTTTTCCAAAGAAACACCCTGTATATTTTTGTATATTTTAAATCTGGAGAAAATTTTGAATCTGATAGATGCACATTCGCTACCATTTTGCAATTGACCTTAAAGTTTTATTTTTTAATCCAGGAAGCTGCAATTTGAAGAATCAATTATTTTTACCATCCAAATTTGCAATTAAATGCATAAATAGTAAATGTTGCAGATCAATTGTTTTTTTTTTAATTAACTCAACTTTTTTAAATACCATACAAATGTTTTTAAAAATCCATATGTTTTTCCCAATCAAAACTCACCAATGTCATAAAAAGTTGTTTAGTGTTTTCCACTAAAATTACACTTATGGAAAACTTAAATTACAACAAAAATTAAGATCATTTTAAAAATCCCGCGATAGTGTAAGTATTGAATTCAAAATTTTCTCCTGATTTGAAATATACAAAAATATGCAGAGTATTTTATTGAGAAAACGAAAGTTGGCATTATTTCCGGGGAAACCGGATACCGGGTGGTATCAATTGAAGGTTGAAATAATTATAAATTAACTCTTTATTATTACTCCCAAATTTCAACTCTATTCCAAAATTTACTAGTGGAGAAGGAGTGCGTCGGTTTTTGGTTACACCCTGTAGAACAGGCAAATTGGGGCAATAAATAAAGGCACATCA